GTAACACTCATCTGACCACTACTGTATTACGACCGCTAATCGGTGAATTTGACAGAATCAGCTGAGCAAATGTGACTTCATAACGCAAATTCAATTGTGTAGTGGTGTAATGGTGAAAATAATAGGCAAGCGTGCGATATAAGTTTTTTCATTTCCTACAGATGTGGCGCTCGTCAAAAAGTCGATGCAGTTCTGCCGGCAAAGAAATGCATTCAACCCGAAATCGAGCCACGTGTGTATGAATATCACAGTGCAACAAGATTCTACGTATTTGATGAAACCAAAAGTAAATGAAAGTTTACACCTCTCATAAGAAAACCCCAGACGGATTTTGACCTTATGGATATCGTATAAATATCAGTGCGAAAGAATGTTGGATTCGCTTCATGTAAATGCTCCTTAACTTTTACATTGGAACAGGCATAAACTCACTTGGAACAGGACTACTCATCCTTAAAAACAGTAAAAAGACTATTTTTCGATGAAATTGTACCACAGCTCCACCTAGCGTAAGTTATAGGTAGAGATAAACATTAAAAATAAGTCCTCGACCCAAAAAAAATTAACACGCTATAACTTTCCAGAAGAACTTCTTTATTTGATCGAATTTTACAAAATTTTTTTCTGTAGACAGGGTCACGAGGTGTAACCTTTCATTTCCTTTTGGTTTTATTAAATACGGAGACATGCAACTCAATTTTATTCGCAGTTTATTTAATTAATTAGTATATTTGCTTTATTTCTACACAGTTTGCCATTCAATTTTATTATTAATAAATTTTTTCGCATTGTTTACTTTTTGCTTGCAGTTTTGGAATTTTTTTAACATTTTTCTTGCAATTTTGGAATTTTTTCTTAGTTACGACCGTTTGCATTTAAGTGATACAAACCATGCTTTCAGAGGTATCAGAATAGTAAGGAAGTCTTAAAGAATTATTATTCGAACCACTCAGGCTACTATACGTACAGAAACCCTGCAACTACCGTAAAAATGAAATGCAGGTCCAAACTACAGAAACAAAGAGAAAGAAAATAACTGATTTTTACCTACCTGCGAATCCATGCAACAATTAATCAAAAAAGAGGTGAGCAGCTAATTTCTACCGAGGATGTACACACAGAACTGAAACTACTGGTTGAACGAAAGAATATAATCCGCTGAGACGTACCTAACTATGAACCAACGACGATTTAACACGGCTATAAATAGTGACAGACAAACAGAAACTATTCAGAACGAAAAATGACACTGAAGATGGCACAACGCCGAAACCGGTTTGTCTCCAAACCAAATTTGACAAGGGATGCCGGAAAATCGTTGCACATTACATCTTAAAGAATTCTTAGTGAATCATTATTTCCCTTCTCGAATTTTCTAAAATGAAGTTTCCTGTGCAAATTTCGATCGGTAAAGGAATGAAGTTAGCGCTATGAAGAATTTTTTCGGAATTTTCTTAAATAAACCGTACATAAAAATCTCTACGAGTTCGTGCCAACCAGTTCACATGATTTTCTTTAAAGATTCGTAAAGAAATTAGAATACATTGGCGATACTCTTTAAAGTTTCAGGTTTTTTTTTGCAGGGATTTGACGACATGTATGTTCATGTGGGTGGTCCAAAAACAGTAAAGTCGGAATTGTAATGCTCTCACCCCTTAGAATTGTTCTATATCGAAAAAGTATACCCCTATTTTTGTATTTTGAAATCAAAAAATATTTAGAGGTCGCTCAAAGCACTTTTCGTAGAAATGGTGTAGAATTCTTCAAAAAAAATATTTTTCGATCGGAAAACTCTTGTTCTCTTCAGGAGACTTCCAATAATAATACCCAATTGTTTATTTAACCATTTTTTAATACTAACGATTTTTTATTGGTCCCGTATTATATTTTTCGGTATTTTCGAGGGTTTATGGTGGACCAATAAATTATAGTTGCGATGAAAAAATTGTTAAATAAACAAATAGGTATTATTTTTGGGATTCTCCTGCAGATAAACAGAGTTTTCCGATAGAAAAATATTGATTTTTAAAAATTCTATTCCATTTCTACGAAAAGTTGTTTTTTCCCGATATAAAATACATGGAAAACTTTGGGCGCTTTGAGCGACCTTTAAATATTTTTTGATTTCAAAATAAAAAAATAGGGGTAAATTTTTTTGGTATAGAACAATCCTAGAGGGTGAGAGCATAAAAATTCCTACTTTACTTTTTCACATGCATTTTTGGGCCACCCTAATTATGTGCATTGTACATGTGATTTCAAAAGTATTTTCGAATGTATTTGTATTTTCAAAATATGTACCCTATAAACATTTTGGCGAACGTTCGAAAATTACCTTCGATATCCAATATGAATATCGAACTGAGAACGAACTCATAACCAACCCTAGTTTTCCAACGTTCATAGTGTATTGGAAATACATTCGAGATGGGTTCGAAAAAAATTAAAACCATAGTAACAAGAGAGGAAGTGAAATCCAGCTCATTTTCGAATGGAAATATAATGCATCACTCTCTCTCATTAAAATTTCAATTCGATAATGGGCAGGACTTCGAATTCATAACGAAGGAAAAATTCTTTGGATAACGAAGGTTCCGTTTTGCTGGAGAATGGCCTAGTTCTCGAATCGAATACTAAGCTATTCCACATTCGTTATCAAAGGTGAGACTTGAAAAAAATGTTAGTTTTCCAATCATTTTCGAATTGTTAACCAAGCCCAATATTTATTGGGTATTTTCTATTTAAATACCTTTTGTAAGGTATTTTGTATTTGTATTTCAAATAATTTTTATGTGAGTTATTTGTATTTTGTATTTAAATATTATTAAATAACTCAATGAGAGGGGAGACCAGGATGTTTGCATGTCTTTAAATAACAAAATATTCATTCGAACAAAAAATGGTGGGTAGGATTGTAAGTCAGGCAGATTCCGCAAAAAGCTTCGGAAGCATTGTCCGGAGAATGCATCAGACTACGCTGATCATGCTTTGAAGTGCCATCAAAATAAATATAAATTGAGAAAGTTTTATTGTATGGCAATTGAGAAGTGCATGTTAAAAATTTTCGTAAATTCACAAAGGACATTTTGGCACATGCAGCAGTGCATAGCATGCCTTTAGGCACTTAGTGTTAGTAGTCGCGCCTAAACGATTATTTTACCATTTCATTTAATATCTCTGTAGATTACACGTGAAACAAAACTATAATTATTAAAAAAAAACTCTGGATTTATTTCGAGAGGAGTGTGCAAAGCTCAGTGGTTAGCGCTTCTGACTTTGCACATCGATGATGCCGGTTCGATCCCTGCTGAAGTCTAGAAAAGTAAGTATGATGAGGAGATGTGGTGATCTCCGAAATACCTGCTATAACTTCTACCGCTTAGAATTTGCTGCTTTTTCCAATAAACAAACGTCGTACAAAGCTCAATTACAATATTTAGATATTGTATAATATTTATTTAATGGCGGCCATTCCGCGGTTGCAAATGGCAAACCCCTGTAATATTTCTCCTATATTTCTGATGTGTTTGTAAAGATTGCGATTTTCTGCAGTGAGTGTGCCGCAAGTGACTACCATTAATATTATCCAATAGATAATTATATACGCAAAGGTATTTATTAGCTATTTACCAACACACACATGGACATACAGGGGTGCATATCTTTTTCGCTAGCCTTATGAAACATTTATGTACATATGTAGGTCTCCAAATGAATACGTGTGTCAAGTTAGCACTACACTTTTGGAAATTGGAAAAGTTAACTACGGCATTAATTGTAGTGTTTTTGTTGTAAATTTGTTGTGGAAAGAAAAAATTTGTAGCTCTAGTTTTTTAAGAAAAAATGGTATGTAGTGCTAACTTGACACCATACACCTAGTCGATAGAATTGAGATATCGAGAAAGTTACTACGTAGCGCTTGAAATGATATTTAATAAAAGTAGGAAATAATAGATTTCGATGGGTACAACATTTTTTTTTTATTTATATAATTACACAAATTAAAAGACTTATCTCAATTCCATCGACAATGGAAGTTAGCGCTACATACCATTTTTTCTTAAAAAACGAAAGCTACAAATTTTTTCTTTCCACAACAAATTTACAACAAAAAAGCTACAATTAATGCCGTTGTAACATTTTCAATATCTCAATTCTGTCGTCAATGGTGCATGGTGTCAAGTTAGCACTACATACTAAATTTTGTTCGAAAAAGGGTCAACTCAATTTTTCCAGAAAAACGAAAGCTACAAATTTTTTCTTTCCACACCAAATTTTAAAGTTAAAAGCTACAATTAATGGCATAGTAACATATTGGATATCTCAATTCTATCGACTAGGTGTATGGTGTCAAGTTAGCACTACATACCATTTTTTCTTAAAAAACGAGAGCTACAAATTTTTTCTTTCCACAACAAATTTTAAAGTTAAAAGCTACAATTAATGCCGTTATAACATTTTCAATATCTCAATTCTATCGACTAGGTGTATGGTGTCAAGTTAGCACTACATAACATTTTTTCATAAAAAACTAGAGCTACAAATTTTTTCTTTCCACAACAAATTTACAACAAAAACACTACAATTAATGCCGTAGTTAACTTTTCCAATTTCGAAAAGTGTAGTGCTAACTTGACACACGTCAAATGAATTCAGTTGTCACAATTGCATTCCTCCCGGCAAGTGCATGCGACAACGCTGTCACTGTCGCGTAAGTAATTGCAGCTAATAACTTGCATGTGCATAACTACACACTATATACATACAATTCTTTTACGCATGTTTTTTATATTTTAGTATATGGACTTTTTTCGCTCGAGTTTGACAACATTAATTTTTGTATGCCGTCATGAATTCCACGGATTGTACAAAGACATTTATGAAAGATGGTACATTCGTGATTAAATAAAGTACATCATACAATAATACAGTTCACCTATTTGTATATTTAAATTTAATCAAATACAAGTACATATAAACTATGTTTATTTTCTTTTCAGCTTCCGCGAGGAGCGGTTTGGCAAAGCCTCTTTCTGTTATGTGCGGTGCATTTTATTAATGGTGAGTAATTTTAAATTTTTTATTTTTTTTTGTTTTTTGTATAATATGAATTTATTTGTTCAATCTTTCTTTCGAAACTAACAATAAGTTTTCAAATCTTACAGACAGTCATTATATTTTAATTTTCTGCCGCAATGCTTAATTTTAAATAAAATATTTTCTTATACATTGTAAATTAAAAAACAAATAAATTTCGCATAAAAATATTTAAGACACAAACTATTATGCTTATAACTACTTTCATTACTTTGCTGTTACCTTCACCATTACCATTAGTATCGCTATTGCCACTGGCAGCGCATAAAAACTCGCCCCGCCTTTTATGTGCTGGCAAAACGAAATATACTTGTTCACTTTTTTGATATATTTTTTATTTAATCATTAACACTAAGTAATGACAAACGCCTCGGATTTTCAGCAAACTTTTCGATTATTTCCTCCTGAATCATCTCGCGGTTTTCGGTAACGAGTTTTCTATGGACGCTCTCGAGTTCAGAAAGCCTTTCTTATCCTGTTGTGCTTCTGAGCCAGTAGAGTAAAACTCTACGAAGTGTACTAAACGTTCGCTCCACAGTTGCTGTTGTGCATGGAAAAGCGCTCAAAATGGAAATACACGTATTTATCGCTCGTAGAAATTCGTTTTCTTCCTTAAATAGATCTACAACTTCAACATCCTTCAAATCTTCTCCGGACAAGTTCATTTTATCTTTTTTCCATAAATTGTACCAAAGAATGAGTTCACTGCCCATATCTAGATCATAGATCTGTTGAAAATGCTTCTTTTGTACCTTTTCACTGGAACATTTAAGTTCTACCCAGAATTACAGCGGACGACGGTAAGGCGGTCTGCGGTAAGTGGACAGCTGAACAGTTGCCGCAATCAAATCCGTCAGAGTGAACACAATTCGGCGCACGACGCCTTCCGTCAGTTGTCATTTTGATTTGAAAATTATCATTAACGTACGTAGATTTTCTAGAAATAAAAATTTATGAAAATATTGGCAAACTTGTGGACTTAATAAACTTACTACAACCAACATTGTGCCGTCCCCGTTGGTTGGTAAAAATAGGAATAAATTTAAATCAACCGAAAAACGTCGCGGGAAAGGTCGCTACCGCTGCAATTAAGAGCTATTCCATATGCCTTTGTGAGTTTTAGTTTTGATAGCGGTTAACCGTCGACCGTTTTACCGTCGTCCGCTGCAATTCTGGGCTTGAATCGAATACAATGGGTGCAATCTAGACAGTGAAAAATCTGGAGTATTTTTTATTGGAAAAGCGTAGTTGTAAAGAGTCCGTTAGTGAATCCAGGTACGGTGCTATTATAGACGGCCGCCAGTACTCATTTTCAATCACTGATGGGGGTTACTTCTGTTTTTTTTGTTTACCTGCCAAATGTGGTAGAGAAATTTCTACTCCTAGATCGGTTATAATCATACGAGATTTTTTAATTAACTCCGTAGTGACTCCTTCTGCATTTTTGCGATCATAACCACTTAACCACTTCCAAAATATTTTCAATATGCTGACCAACGGCAATGAGGTTCCTCGATAGCAAAATGTTTGCTGTAGGTTCCAGCAAGGTTGCATATTTAGCAATTGTTATTAAAGCAATGATGAACATCGGCCTTGTTATAGCAGCACACATTTGATACGTCGACTTTCTTGTGAAAAAGTTTTCCTGAATAGACAACTTTTCTAAAGCTTCCACAACTTTACAAAAATTTTCTGAAATCATCTTGTTTCACACAAAGGTGATATATTCGGAGCATAATTCCAGCGTTTCATTGATTCGCGAAAAAAAAGTTTATCACATCTTTTAAGGAAGAAATAGTATTTCTTATTTCTGGAACCTCGTTTAAGTCATTCACAACAAGATTTAACGGAAGAGGAAGTGTTTTTCTCGCTGTGGTTTTCCATCCTGTTCATCACAGAATGGTAAGAAACTGAAATGGGTGTTTCTTTCAATTCTATACCAATTCAGTGCTTAACGTTGTGCTTATTTCACTGTATCAACGATGAAAAAACGCAAAAATAACGGGGGTTTTCTCGACCCTAAAGTTTCCCTTAAAGAGAACACTGAAGAACGGAGGGAAAAGGCACTTAATGCGCTCTACTCCTGTAAGGCTACAATTGGGAAAGACTGGGGGCTACGACCGCAGATAATACACTGGATTTATAAGGCGGTAATTATATATGGTGGGAGGCGGTTATGGGAGGCGGTTGACATCAAATCCTATGTACGAAACCTGCAAGCATGAATATGCACAACAGGGGCGGTTTACTCAACGCCCTAGGGGGCACTAGGGACACTCCTTGACATTCCACCCATAGACCTATACGTTAAAAGTACCGTATCTAACGACTTAGGGCGTCTAACAGTAACAGACTACGAATAACTTGCAAGGGTCACGCCACAATCCTCGACAGAGAGGCGGTGGAGTACAATAGCTCTTACTATCAGGACATGGAAACTGACTTCAATCGAAACTATCGAAACTTCGATGTCCTTTTTCCCGACAGAAGTGACCGGGAATTTAATATTGCTCTCACGGGCGTCTTCAAGATGGACATCGGAACAGGATCTGGAGTGTAATGAACGATTTGGTCTTATATATGCAGCTTTCGGTTCAAAAACCCAGATGCTAAATCTTTGGTACTGTACAAAAATTTAAAATTATTATAGAGTTAGATGTGTCAACAAACTTAGAAGAGGAAGAAGTAGCCAAGGATGACTACGACTTCTGGCAACAACACTAACAGCACGCCATCTTTCAAAAAAGGTAAAAAGGTCAACGAAAGGTGACGAAGTGAAGTCAAACCTATTAGAAGAGTGGGATCAGCTGAAAAAAGGCACAAATTTATCACAGCGCACGACAGTGCGCGCGAGTGACAAAAGCAGACACAGTAGCATGCTGAATTGACTCGCTTATATATACACGAGATTTGGAAGTTTTTATCCAGACGTACATTCGACATGTTTGAGGTATCGTTGGAAAGGTCTTGCAGAGTGTGCCGGTTTAACTCATTAAAAGCGAAAGCAAAAGAGAAAATTTAGAGGAACCAAATTTTGGAGGATACTAAAAGTGAGGTTATGTACAAAAATCCATAATAAAAAGTTTCGACCTCTATAAAGGGGTGTCTGTACGAGCTGAAACATATATGTAACACTCTTGAATCTTTGTTATGTAATAAAAATTTGCATAACAGAAATTCGAGCGTGACATATATATAACACTAGCGTTTAAAGAGTTAAGGGGGTATGTGGGTATACCCAACATATTTAGTGTTATTCCCTAGGTCAATACCTTTCCAACGTTACCTTATATATTGAGTTCCGGCAACTAGTTGGAAAGATATAGTGCTAAATTGATTTTGGTTCGTGTCTCCACTACCAGATGCTTTGATATATATGTGACGTCTGAACGTACATTCATTTAATATTTTTTTTTCAAACTTTCAGGAATTAAAATTCAAAAATAAGTAATTTTTAAACTACCACCAGTGTTGCCACTATTGGTATTTTCCGACCAAATTTGGTAGCTTATTTTTCATTTGGTAGATTGGTTGGCAAAGTAAGATTTTGGTAGGATAGTTGAATTAATTTTTTAAATTCTTAATTATAAAAATATATATTTCAAACATCATTTTGCATATAAATATTTGCCAATTGTACCTTTTAAACATTCTCCAATCCTGCCTTTAAAAATAAGAAACCTAATTGGTTTGGCAACTGATGGAGCCAATGTTATGGTTGGAGACTTGAGTGGGCTGAAAACATTATTGAGTGCAGAAACCGATTTATTTTATATAAAGTGCACATGCCACTCACTTCACCTTTGCTCAAGCTACGCTTGTAAAAAATTGCCGAAAAGCATTGAGACACTGGGCCTCATGCATAAAAAGTGAGCTTAAGCTCAGACTCCATTTTTGCACTGATGAGGTGAGCTCAAACTCTAGAATTTGTACTGAAAATCGAGTCGGAGCTTAAGCTCACTTTTTATGCATGAGGCCCACTGTGCCGCAACATATATAGTTTCTTTTCCCACAGTCCTAAGGGGATACATGAACTGAAGGAATTTCAGGACTACTGTTCGGTAAAACGCCACAAATTCTTGGGCATATCTCAAACTCGATGGCTTTCACTAGGAAGCGTTGTGTTGAGAATAGTTGAGCAGTGGGATAGATTGAAACTTTATTTTGTTTACTGCTTTTACAAAGTAAACGGTGTGCGATCTGCAGACCTTGCAGAAGGAAGGTGTTGCAAAACCAAATGCTATTTTTTATTTCTATCGTATATTTTGCCCATAATTAACAATCTTAACAAAGAGTTCCAAGCTGAAAGCTCTCGTTTGCCATACTTATGTGCAAAGCACATTAACTCATAATTTTGAGTAACTTCATTAAAAAAGATGCGATCAGTACCATATTAATGTTGATTTTAAAAATGAAGATAATCATGTTAAAATATCGGACATTTTTGTTGGAACGAAAGCTGAGATGTTTATGAAAAGTAATGTGAATTGTTCTGGAATCCTTGGGGTTAAAACCAATATATTAAAGTTTTACATGGAGTTTTTGGGCCAAATAAATTTAAGATTTCATTTCAAGCGTGAAGATATAAAACTTTTCCAAATAATGACACCAGCCAAGGTAGTTTCTAAAGAAGATTTACCAATTTTACCTCTTTTGTTAAAGTTTCCCCATCTCATAGATTGCGATCCTGATATAATAACCACGCAGTGGAATTTACTGAGGCTAAGTGAGCTTGATATTTCCAGCGATCTGGATATTGATATGTTTTGGGAAAAAGTGTATTCTATTAAAAATGGAATGAATGAAAATAGCTTAATGCATCTCGCCAATTTTGTTTTTAATATAATTTCATTACCACATAGCTCTGCGGCTGTAAAACGCAAATTTTTAACGCTTTCTTTGTTAAAAGCTAAACTAAGAAATAAACTTAAGATTGACAGTATCAATAGCATAATGTTATGCAA